CGGAGCACACCAGCTCGGTGACCGGCTTGGCGCTGCGGCAGGGCCCGTCGGTCACGTAGCGGGTGAAGTGCAGCTCCCGGCAGCTGTATTCGGACACGTCTGCGGAGAGAGGCGCACGTGAGGGCGGAGGCCGGCCCGACCACGCCTCCCCGTCTGGCCAGCTCCCTCCACACCATCTCGCCTTTCCCAATCCTGCCTCTCTCCAGACGCTTTTGCCCCTGGACATCTATTATGGGAAGGGCCCTGCTGGTGGAAAGATTTCCCCTAAAACTTTGGAGCCAATTTCTTTCTTTCTTTGCTGCGGTCCAAATGCCAGCTCCATCACGGTGTGATCTTGGGGAAACGACTTCACCTCTCTGTGCTTGCTAGCTGAGGATTCAGTGAGTTAATCCGTTACAAATATAATGCAGGGGACACCACCAAGCACACAGTAAGAGCTGGAAGCGTTGGCTGGCCGGGATGTGTTATTATTTCTCTCCGAGGGGGGCCTCTTTGTTATATTAAGTCACACCCATGCCACGGGGCCCCTGGCCGGCAAGGCTGATACTAGCCGCACAATTTGCATGCCTCCTGCTTCTCCCAAATTCCTTTTCCAGACACTTGGGAGGGGCCTGAGGTGATGGCGAGGAGTAGGGGTTAATTGAAGGTAATAAATCAGGGCAGCTGCGGGGGAGGAGAGGGCTGGAAGGGAGGTGGAGAGGAGGAGAAGTCATTAGACTTGAAAGGAGCCAAAGGCAGCACGTCCAACCCCCTCCTTTTCACGGACAGCACTGAAGCCCAGAGAGGGAAAAGCGCTGGCCCAAAAGGCAGAGCTGGATCTCCTGGCTCCACTTCCCTGGGGCCCAGCACCGCTTGGCTCCTCCGTGGGTGGAAGCCGTGTTCCCAAGCTGGGCTGGCGGGGCAAGGGGGTGCTTTTTACTATAGTTACTTCCCTACCAGAGAGGGATCCAGCTCGGACAGGAAACCTACAGGGTCAGCTGCCACAAACATTGAAGTACCTGCTGGGTACCAGGCACCCTGCTGGGCACACCTCTCGTTTGTGCCATGTGAATGGACACCTGACAGCGGCACAGGCTTGCTTTCTGGGTGGCGGGGAGCTTGTCCTCTGAGGCCTGACTTGGTTCCCTGGAGTCACCTTGATGACGTCTCCTACCGTGGGCTTAAATGGTGGGAGCTTTTTAAATCGCTGGTCCTCCTGTGAGCACCTGTCCACCCCAAGGGTCTCATGGGGACCATTCCATGTGACACCAAGGGATGAAAATAGTCCTAAGACCACAACCAGAGATGGGGGCAGAGAAGGCCAGGCAGCCACCCCCAGGCACGGAGAGCACGCGCAGCAGGGGGATGTGGGCTTGCCTTCCTCCTGTGGCCGGCCTCTTGGTTTCGGGGTTGGCTTGGCTCCCTTGTCCTGCTCCCAGGCTGCAGGGGTGTGTGTGGGGCGGGGGCGGTGGTGGTGGCTTATTTGCCCAGGGAAGGAGGCGTTGGGGCTTTCCAAGAATAGTGCCCCAAAGTCAGGTCCTTCCTCTGCAGAGGGTGACTTTGTTCGGGACAAGTGGCTCCCTTGGGGGCTTGTGGCCTCTCGTGGGAGCCCAGGGAAGTGGACACCTCATTCCTGGGTCCCCTTGCAGCCCAGGGGTTGTGAGGCAGGGAGGGGTGGGATGCAGGAGCCTGGGAAGTGGGCTCCTCTCCCACCTGGGCAATGGCCTGAGGGCAGGGAGGCCCTCACTCTGAAGTGTCAGCCAGCCCCCGCCCCCAGCCATTCCTGCCAGCTGCAGAGCCAGCTGTGCACAGTGCCCCCGCCCTCCAGGCTTCTCTGTGCAGACCTGACCAGGAGCCCAGGGGTACCCTCCACCGGGGCCACTGACTTTTCGCTAGGGTCAGGCTCCCTCCCCAGGAATGGGCAAGGCTGGGTCTGAGGTGGGGACACAGGACGGATGCTGGGCTCAGTAGACACCTGTGTCTGCTCCCTGCACGGAGGATGCTGCTGCTGCCTCCCCTCCAGGGCCTGGGCCCGGCAGCCACCCACACTAGAGGCTGAAACGGTGCCCACACTCCCGTTCAAGGGCCAGCTCACGAGGCAGACCATTCGCAGGGGGAGCTGATGAGGTGCCTCCCTGTCATCCCTTTCCCACTGCTCTGGGGGGATTTGCTCTGGCTTTTGATCCCCACGACCCCACCCATCATCCCCCACCAGGGCTGTTTTGGAATTGAATCAAACTGGGTCCAAATCTCAGTCCTTCTACTCATGACCAGACTACTTAACTTCTGGACCTTCTATTTCTTCACCTTCCAGCTGGGAGTTCACCTCATGGGGCTCCCACGTGGACGATCCTGGGCTATAGCACATGCACAGCCCACAGAGCGCGTCTGGCCTCCAGCAGGAGCCTATAGGTGTGAGGCTCCCTTGCCTTGTCCTGTCCCCAGTGATGCTGGCAGCTGGACTGACTCCTGAACCTCAGGAAGGGGTTCCTTAAACCGTCTCCTTGCCCAGCCTGCCCACCTCCATCCTGCCCCAGGCTCTCTGCCAGCCCCCTGCCAGCCTCAAGTCCCTGCACTGGATTCCAGGGCTCCATTGGCATGCTACCCTTCCCTGCCTCTAGACTGCCCCTCCACCCATTGCCAGCAGCACCTGAGGGTCCACCCCAGCCTTCAAGCATCCCAAAGAGAACTCTCCCCTCAGAGGAGCCCTGTGCCACAAGCGCTCTCTGCCACCCATACCTTTGGTCTCAAAGGGGTGGTGGGGAGGCCGCCCTCCGTTCTCGGCCCGGTTCATGGTCTTGTTGTTCTCCAGCTCTGGCGGGGGCTCTGGGTACTCGCCCAGCTCCGGGATGATTTCCGTGGCATCGTTCTTGAAGGCCGGCCACCCCTGGGCCTCCACCGCACGGAAGGCTGCGTGCACCAGCAGGCAGACGAGACACAGGGCAAGAGAGAGCTGCATGGTGCCAGCTGGAGGAGGGCACCTGGCCTTCCAGTAGCACGGGCTCCAGTCCCCAGCCCAGGCACGTTTGCCTTTTTAAAGCCCCCTCTGCCTCGTGCCAGCCAATGACAGGCTGGGGCAGGGCTGGCCCCACGCTTCCCTCAGCCCAGGGGGAGGGAACAGGGTGTGCTCAGAGCAAGCCCTCTCCAAAGACTTCTCCTCAAGGGCAGCAAACTCCCAAATTGCTGCCGGTGCTCCCGGTGACTCAGAGAGAGGGGGGCACCTCCTCTATGCAGGCGGCGGTGGTTTTCACTTATCAAAATGAGCCCCAGCTCTTCACCTCGACTTCCCTGGGCCCCCCGGGCTTTCTCAAAACAAACTTGGCACCAGCTTAACAAAGGAAACTGCAGTTCTGAGTCCTCCAGAGGGCTGAGCCCAGACATCCCATTTCTCAGGCCGCAGTGAGTGTCCTGGGACCCCTGAGTCAACGGAAACACATTATCTGGAGCCACTGAGGCCATTTAGAGTCATTGTGCTGTCATGGTCTCCAGGTGCAGAGGAATGTGTTTCGAAAGACCAGTAAGATCACTATCAATGGGGGTTTTCAAGCCACAGTCAATGGTGTATTCAATCGAATGAGATGACTTATATAAGTTCAGAAAATCAAAATAACTTTTCTATTACTTTAGCAAGCAAATAATGACAGAAGCCAAGTCGGCAGGGCTAAAATACTAAACAGCCATTTTCCCCCAAGCATGGTGGCTACCATGCTTCACATGGTGCCAGGCACTGTTTGGCCCGGACACTCCCTGTGGCTTGCAGGCTGACGTCCCGAAGGCAGTCATTTCCCCAGCCAGGCTGTGGGCAGGAGTGGAGAACACAAAATCCCTTTTCTTAGCAAAAGCCAAGGCCAACATTTTTAGTGTTGACATTTTTCCTTCCTTGTCTCCCAGCCCATTACATGTTTCAAAACCAGCTTTGAGTCCTCTCTGGGAGATCTTACGGGTGCCTTCCACGGGGCGCACTCCATGAAGCCCTCCCAGGCCCAGCTGGGCCAGCCACGGAGAAACCAAAAGGAATGACTCCCGCAGCCCTGGAGCAGAATGAGGGCCTGGGAGGGGCAGAGGCGGGGAAGGAGGTTCACACCTGAGGTGCAGGAAAAGAAAGGAGCCAGCGGAAGCTTTCATTGCAGATGGATTGAGGAGGCAGCCGCCAGGCCCCGGAGGAGACCGGGAAGAGGGCTGTGGCTCCGGTCCCCTCGGTATTTTCACGGCCATGAATCAGCCTGCCCCACCTGCAGAGCATCTGCAGGGCCTCTGCCACCTGCCTCGACTTGTAAGTCGCCGTGTCCATCTGCGGCCACCGGTCCCTCCTCCTTTCCATCATCCATCACTCAACACATGAAGGCAGCTGGTCTGACAGTTTTACAAGCCAGACAGAAGCCCCTGCAGGAAGGGCCCTCTCTGATACCTGCTTCCTTCGTCTTTCCTTCGGGGCAGACGAAAACAGCTGTGGCCATTGTTGGGGGTGATCTATCTCTCCCAACAGAGCCCTGTGTTGTGAGAAGCTGGTCCTCCGTGCCCCCTCCCCTGTCTCTGACCCTCTAGCTCCTTTCCCCTTGCTCTGGAATGTGAACCGTTAACCCTATTGTGGCCGGACACTGCCTTCTTGTCCTGGATTTGGGAGAGGGCCGTTCTGATGCCCAGAGACCCTGAGCTGGCGGGACTGACGCCGGAGCCCCACCGGCTGTTGGAAGCGGCAGGCCCATCGCATGAACCGGAGACGTGGGGACCGTCCTTGGAACACGTCTGCCACCTGCCGGAGGTGGAAGGAGACGCCAGCTACTGGAGGACGGCGACGGTCCGGATTTTATTTATTTCATTATTTTATTTGAAACTAATGTTGAGAGAGAGAGAGAGAGAGAGAGAGAGAGAGAGAGAGAAGAATCCAGTGGACTTGAATCTCTAAATTATCCCCAAACTTTTGACGTACTCTCTGCCAATGTAGAGCCAGATTGGCTCAGAGACAACCCGGCTATGATGCCATCTGCTGTTTGTTTTAAATCCTCACCGAGGATATTCTTTCCATTTATTTTTACAGAGATTGGGAGGGAGGGCAGGAGGGAGTGAGAGAGAGAGAGAGAGCGAGAGAGAGGAAGATCAATGTGAGAGAGAACATTGATTGGTTGCCTTCCATGTGTGCCCTGCTGGGGATCGAACCTGCACCTTTTCAGGATATGGGACAATGCTCCAACCAACTGAGCCACACTGGCCAGGACACCATCTGCTTTTTTGCTTAACATCAATTCAACTTTATATTGACCCAATCCACAGCTTGTCGCTCAGAGCTAGACAGTGCTGCGGGAGGCAAGCCCCTAGGGTTTTAGCTGACTTCTGTTGTGGGTAGTTTAGGTTCCATCCCATGTTCCCCTGTTCTCGGTACAGGTGCTATGAACATCCTATACAAAGTAATTTTTCAAATTAATCTTTTAATTTTGAGATAATTGTAAATTTACATGCACTTTTAAAGAATAATTTTTCTAGGCTATACCTAATAGTGGCTTCCTCCGAGGGGAGGGATCGAAGGCTTGGGGTAGGAGATTCACTTTTCATTATAAGCCTTTTATATTGTTTGAATTGATTGCTATGTATTCCTTAAAATGTTTTAAAAATTATACTTAAAAAACACTTTTACCAGTTTTACATCTTAGTGCTCTGCCTTAAGATTTTGTGTAAAAATATAAAGGTTATGTTGCCACAGCGGTCTGACAAATAATGAGTTCGCCTAAGTGCCTCTAAGCGAAGACTAGAGAGGCTCTTTTGCTGTCCAGGCTTTGGGACTAAAGGCACCCAACTCTGAGTTGTTTATTCAGAGGAAAAAGGCAGTGCTTATGGCCGGGGAGACCTGCTAATGGCGGGATTTAAAGCATCTGGGGTCGGGGATGTGTTTTCGGACTGTCCATTTGCAGGATAACAAATCCCAAAATGCCACCCAGTCATCTTCACGTGAGGCCACCGTGAGACTGTCACCCCAACCCCTACTTCTTAGAACCATAAATCTTACCTCCCTCATTAGGGGTGGGCCTTTGCACTCAAGAATATTCCAGTCTATTATACCTCAATAAATCTGAATTTTTAAAATGAAATAAATAAAAAGACTTGCTAACACAGGACATTTCTGGTACTGGAAGGCTGTTCAGCAAATATCTGCTTGTCTAAATATAATCAGCATGGAACCTATCACTAGCTCAGGAAGGCCGATTTTTAGATGATTCTTTTTAAAAGTTAGAAAAAGCAAACATAAAAGGTAAGCATAAAAGCAACCAACTGTGATAAGGACCGAAAAGAGACCATTTCTTGGTAATATAAGACATTTATTTTGGTTACAGTATTAGTATTTTAACACTGATTTGTGATATAACAGACATTAAACTTATTTTTAAAAACAAACCATTTAATACCTTCCCCCTTTTCTGTCCAGAAAATTTGTTACTTTCCAATCAGGTTACCCTGAAAGCTGACAGGAGGGAAGGTAAGCTTCCAGCCAATCCGCTCTCTCCGCCGGAGATGGCCTGGCCCCTAGCCCAATCAGAATAAAATCTTGTCTTGGAAGGACCATCATCGTTGGCTCTTCAGTAATACTTGACACCGGTTTTATAACAGGAAATCTCCTGCGAGAAAAGCTTATATCTTTATTATAAGATCAGTGCTTATTCTGATTAAAACATTAGCATCTTAACATTAACTTGTGACACAAAAGGCACCAACATTCATTTTCAAATCATCCCTCGCCATGGGTGGAACGCAGCGCCACCTGGCGGCCACCATATTGACATACCCTCTAACTTTCAGGTGGTGGTCAATTCCAAGTGGGGATTCTTAGAGAACCCTGGTGTCAGAGTCCCCTTGTTTGTAGATGCTGATTTATGCTCTCCAGGTCATTCAGAGTGGCAGGGAAACAGACCGGCCTGTGGCACGTGCACTGCTTTAGGTAGAGGAGACGCTTGCTGCTCTAATTTGGGCGTCTGCTAGTCGAAGAAAGGGATCCGGTCAGGGGAGGGAGCGAGGGCACCCTGACTTCCTAGTCCATCCCTTCCCAGGGGTAAAGCTACCCAGGAACAGCTTCCCCTCAGCGCTGGGCGCGTGTTGACTCTTACACGATAGAATTTGATGTTACTTTACTCAAAGAACTAGGAGCTAAGTCTTGTGAAGTAAATATGGGGCTTCTGAGCCTACAGATGGTCAAGAAATCCCAGTTATCAGCATAAAAGTAGTCCCAAAGTAAAGGCAATAATTCTCCCACTGACTTTTTCCCCTCAGGCCCCCATGAACAGGCCTTCAAGAGCTCCTAAGTCGCTGTGGCTGTCCTGTGGGGGGGCCACTGCCTGGGCCCCATATCCGGAGCCTCTTCCAGAAGTGGGGCACAAAGCTCTGGCTTAGGAATGCTACGTGTTTCCTGGAAGGAGAGTCACACATTCGAACCCAGTCTTTTACTTCCTATTCCTGGACTACGGATGGCTTTGTGCCAACTTTGTCTCAACCTTCACTAGACCTCCCCTGGCACCACAGCTTGAATCGTTCTCTGTCCACAAAGCTAACTGGCCCTTGCCCACATGGGCCGGGTCAAGGGCAGGTGCAGCACACCTGGACATGGTGGTGGTGGGGGTGGGGTAGGGGGGCTCATTTCTTGAGGAGTGTCGTATGAGAGAAAGAATTCAGCTTCAGGAAGCAGCAAGCCTGAAATATTGCATCAATTCTGCCTTAAACTGGGCAACATAGGGGGTCATGTCCTTAATCACCCTGAACCCCAGAACCCCAGCTCCTTTTTTTTTTAAGGTAACCATACATGAAGATCCACCGGCTGGGGTTATTGTGAGGATCAAGTTGGATTAAGTGGGAGGGTTATCTGAAAACTGAGGTACAGAGTTTAGAGGATGGCCATTTCACTTGGGTGGCTCTATCTGGGCAGCCAGCATATCAGGGCTGCTGTGGTCACAGAGGAAAGTGCAGCCCAGGCTGCGCAGTGCTGCCCCTGCTGAGATAGAGACCT